CCGCAAGCCCCTCAAAACGTGGCAAACTAAAAAGCATCAGCTGAATGCCGGAAACCGAGAACCCTAAACGGCCAAACCCTAAACCCTAGCACCTTGGAGCTGAAATCCTAAACCCTAGAAACCCTAGATTCCATAGAAGCTAGCAGCCTGCTGTAAACGCTTTCTCGACAAACCCGTGCAGAACCCGCATGTGACCCTGATACAATCCCCTAAGGCCGGGTTGCCTCCGAGCTCCAGCCACGCAGAATCACCGGGCTCTGCCCATGAAACCTGATAGTAGGGTTTACCCTAAACCCTAAACCCTAAACCGTTTGGGTGTTCGGGCCAAAAGTTCGACGATCTACGGTGTGCGGATCAGAATCGAGGCTGAAGGGCAGGGCCTAGGATTTGGGGTTTCGGTTTTGGGGTTCAGGATGTAGGAAATGCAGGGTTGGCTATTTCAAGCTTTGGGGCTTGGGCTTTTGTGGGTCAGTGCCTGGCGATTACGGCTTGTTTCGGACGACGCTCAGATCGCAAGCCTAAGCCCTTCCGAGAACATTTACTCTGCTGATTTACTCTGCTGAAGTCCCAATCGGCTCGGTGCTGCCAGCACGCTCCTCTAGGAATCGCAGTCTCCAAGCATCCTCCTGGACTTTGCCAGCTTTCGTTCTGGGACTTTGGGTTTAGGGCTCAGGCTTTGCATACTCCTGCACTGGCCGCGTGGTAGATGCTCCTAATTCCTGCGACCTTGGCGCTGTATGCTCTAACCCCGTCCTCGAGGATCTCGATGTTGCAGACAGGCAGCTGCCACAATGCATCCTGCTAGGAATGTTTGCTGCAGCATGTCGGGGACGGTTCTAAGGAGTTCGAGGGCATTGCATTTGTGGTATTCGCGCTGATGCAGTTTGGGTTTGGACCCTACAACCGGCATGTGTGCGAGCCAAAGACGCTTGTGGCGATGGTCCAACATTATTCCCCAAACTTTACAAACTCTGATGTAGAAAGGGTAGAGTCCCGCTGTGATCACTTGTTCGATAGCCTGGGCCACTTTGCATCCCCTGCGACTTTTCGTGTTAATCGTCCATCACAGCGGCGCAGAGGAGCCTAAAACTACCCCCAATTCTGATGCCCTCACCAAACAGAATCCATCATTATGAACCCTCCACCAAACTGTCACGAAACCTTAAGCCCTAAACCCCCTCGACCATTTACTATAGGCCTAAACCCTAACCCCGGCAGCTTTCGGCAGATGCTGCACCTTCGCAGCGGAGACCCGGTTCCACAGCAGAGGCACACCCGCCATTACGGCCGACAAAACAAAGCATCTCCCCATGTTAGTAACGGCTCTAGACTTTAAGTTGTAAGGTTTTTGGCATGACCCCTCGAACAAACGATCCAGCTCCGCACACCCTGTAGCAGAACCGATAGCTCCAAACCTGAAAGAACTAGTTCCATGACCTTGCAAAATGCTTGATCTGCTGAAATCACAACTGCTTCCCTTGCCTGGTGGGCTATGTCTTCCAATGCTTCATCTCTTGACACTATAATGGACCACAAGACTGTGATGGCCTACCGAAACAAACATCAATAGTCTTGGCAAACCTGGAATCCCATATTCTTGTTGCAAGCTCAAAAGTTGCAGCTTCACCTTGCGCAAACAAGGAGCCATGCAGAGGAAAGCCTGCCGCAGCTCGGAATCAAGCACCGCTAAAATAAATGTTTGTGCGTGTGCGCACCTCAGTTTAACAAGTTGAAACTCTGTAGTTCACATCTGCAACATTGACTTGCATAATCAACATATTCCCACAAGGCATGTGGTCTGCGCGTCCATGATGGCCTCTTTGCTCCAACATCTACGTAGGCTTAAAGACCCAAAGAGCGGTCTCCTAAACCCTCAACTTTGAAGTCTGATCTGTCTGGCTCATGTCAATTGTCCTTCCGGCTGCCAATAACCATCGTGCCATTTTGTGTTCTCGTCATCATTTTTTCCGCTGTGCCTTGCAAGAAAATTCTTTAAAAGGTGTAGTCATAGTCAACCAAATTATTAGTCCCTGGGTGCTCTAAGACGGTTTTTTGAAGTTCTTTAAGTTAACAATGCAATGCATGTGAAAGAAACAAAACTCGATGCACTCGTTCTGTTTTTGTCCGCAAAAGTTGATGTGCCAGTGCGGAGCGAAGCGTGCTCGGGTAAGAAAGCACTGCGTGCTGAGCCCTCGGGGTGTGGAAGGCGGGTGAAACTTTTCAGAGCTGCTAAGCCTACGACAGTATGTGGGTTTCTTTGGCGTGGGCCAAGTGTTGCGATGCAAAGCGATGCTATGCTAGTGGCCAAAGCTGAGAACAACGAGCGGCGTGTAAAACAAACAAGACTCGATGGGGAGTGCGTGCTGGGCGTCGCCACTTTAACGGCACACCGCAACCTTCTATTCAAGTTAAACTGTACAACCCTAAGCGGTCACCCTTTTTGCTGTTTGAGCAAAAGGCGCTGCACGAGTAGTTTGTTTACATTGTCATGCCGTGGCCTTGGGCTCTCCAAAAGGGGACAAGTCTATACATAAATTCCAACACCCTGCCTCGAGGTGTGTGTGCTGTGCGTACAAGCTTTCATACTGGCCGTGGGCATTTCCCGTACTACTGCGAGCTTTGCTTCGCATGCGGCTTACACAATTGAGTGCAATAACCCACCTTTTTCCATTCCCCCAATTATCGGGGATTGTTCCGAGAAACAAACACAAGACTCGTACAGTCACAGACCTCGTCCTTTTCAAACACTTCCTGAGCAAAAAGCAAACCACATTCATTTGACTGCGGTCGCGTGCTCTCGCAGGGCTTCCATCTTTCTGAAACATTAGAGTCATTAGAGGGTGAAACTTCTGCCTACACTCACTCCTCTTTCTCATGCTTCTGCAGGGGGTAAGTCTTACGACTGCGTTCTAGCTTCCATAGAGTCCGGCGTTCCTGGGTCCACAGACTCTTGGCTAGTCCTCCTTCTGTGCTCTTCATACATTTCCGTGATATACTCTGGGACGATGCGCTGGCCCATTTCTTCCAGTGAGGTTTGGTCTTCATACGTGCTCTCCGGAGTTGCTTCACTTTCTCCTGATACAACTCTTCTTCCAGCTTGGAAATCTTCCTCATCAATTCTGAACATACTTGTTCCGGCGTCATTGTTGGCATTCATTCCTTGGCCAATAGGTCCAGCTTCGGCTCCGCGGCGCGCTGCCTGCGGTGAATATATTCATACCTTGATCCGTCTCGGACCGTTCTACGATGCATTCCTTTCGACGTTCCTTTACGTCCTTCTTCTGGGGCTTCCATCGGAGTTGCACTCTGCTCCGATGATGTACCTGGGTTCCATCCATGATCCGGTGCACTTGTCCATTCTTGAACATTCTCGGTCTCGCCCACATGGTAGGTCTCCTTCCACCGGTTCGTAGCATAGCTCTGGATACAGGCTTCGCAACTACACCATTGGTGATTGACTTTCGTCCGTGCGCATCTTTGATCCTGACATATTTCCTTCGGATATTTCTCCGCTTGATTCAGCTATTTCCCATTCGCTTTCGCTGGTCTCTCCGAGGCTTTCCTGTTCCATGTTTCTATTCTTTCTTCCTCGGCGTGGTGCATGATACAGGTCTCCAGCTCTCGTTCCCTTTGCTTCGGGAAAGCAAATGTAACAGGGACGGTATCCTTTCTGCTTCGCTTCGGTGATGTACATAAATATGAACTCACCACGTCTTGCCGGGCCCTGTACGTGATGGCACGTTTCAGGGTGAAATGTTTTGTTTCGGGAATACCTGTGGATCTTCACCATTCCTGTGCGCCATACTGCTAGTACCATGGTCTTGATTTTCTTCAGTGCCTGCAACGCATACGGCATTGCGAGCGTCCGCACTGCGCATACCATGAATACTTCGAACTTCGTGTACTTTCCGTTGTCCATGTCTCCAATACGCTGAGCTTCTGATTCCAGGCTCACGTCGCTATCCTTGATCCAGGCTGCGGTAGATGGGTGTTCATGGCAAGTCCTACACCACGCAACTAACACATGGGCTACAGCGTGCGAGCAACTTACAGCAAAGTGGGAACAAGATAACAGAAGCAACGCTGAAGACATGTAACTGCACTCCCACTGCACTCATTTTGTTTCGGCTTGCCGGAAAGTGACTGCTGTCTGGTCTGGTGGCTTGCCGGCCTTCGGCCAAGCGGAGCCACCTTGAAGCCGAAGCTGCTGCAGTCACGAAAAGCC